TGGTTACTTGATTTACCTGGGAAATGGCTCCTCATGTAAAGAGAAGCCAAACCCTGTCACTCACATCCTCCGACAGGAAGCAGTCAGAAACCAAACCTTCACCCTGCTATGATGAAGCCTGGTTATGATGCCTCCCCCAGTGCAGAGAGGGAAGAACCAGTTCCTAAGAGATTACAAACCACCCCACCAACAGCAACCAGAGACCTCCTTGTATGCTGCAACTTGGCTGTCAAACTTGCGCTGCCTCTTGCCCTCCCACTTCCACCTTGGGCCCTCAAGAATTACCTGTTGGACAGCTGAACAACTTCAAAAGGAAAAGCAAAAAGTAAGTAAAGATAATCTTGTCTGGGAAGGTTGCTGTCCTGGAACAGAGATGGACACAGACACGCACTTCCACTGCAAATTGGTCAACAGCACCAAGACTAAGCATCCATCCCAATCTCAGACACCGAGCTCTCCTCACACATTTCCTAGGAAGCCAAGGTATGAAAAAAATCCCAGGCTCTACTCCACTGGAAAGTATCTTCAAGAGTTCTGAGACACATTTGCTCCACAAAGTTTTAGTTTGCTCTAAACCAAAGTAGTTTTTAACCCTATTGAGACACAGCAAGTCCAAGCTTCAATATCAATCCAGGAAGCACACCGCTCTGTTAAGCAAGTACTTTATAAAATATATAAAATTATAAAATAATTATTTAGCTCTACTAAAGGACATCGAGGAATTATCTGATTCTTATAGCCTTTCCAGAGTCCTGTAAAGACAATGAAAACCAGAATTTCATTATGTTTTTAATAAAAACATAGCTTCCAAAAAATTCTATTCATCAGGAAGTGGGGGTAGGGAACACAGCTGATACAAGTACTGAACAAAATCCATCAGCATTAATTCAATTATGGATTTCATTCAATTGTCAAAACCTTTCAGATGAAAATGATCCTTTAGGAAACAGTATGAGTGATGATTTCTTTATTATTTCTTCACCAGCATTCAGTGCAAAATATCAAACACAATTACAACAAAAAAAGTTGAAGAACATTTAGTTCTCATCTGATCTAAAACATGTGCACAAACACAATAGGTATTAATTTCATCACCCTGACAGCAACTGGGATAAGACATTCAGGGTCAAAGAGAGATGAGAGCATTCATCATACTGAATTACTAGTCCTTTCAACTCTTCAACCGTTCTAATCACACGCATATTTGCAGCCATCCTGGTTTTCACATTCTATGGCAAGATTCAACAGTTTATAGTCTATTTGAAATGGAAGAGACTAGACTCCCCTGACACAGTAAAGAGAAAAGCAGTACCACAACCACAGTTCATCAGCAACTTGATGATTCAGAAACCTAGGGCCAAACCAACTATTAGCACCCGCAGATGCAAGTCCTCCGAAGTTGTACCTGTTTGTACCAGCAACTGCTTTAGCTCATCACTGATAAAATTAACATCCTTAGCTCTCCGAGACTCTCTTTACATATAATTATTTTCACTTTATACAATATTCCTTCTAGAAAACAGAATGGTAGGGCACCTGCATCTTATGGCAGGTCAGGTACGAAGCCACACAGGGCCAAAGCAGGGACGTTCTCTCTGTGCCACATTCCAATACCACATCTACACATTTCATTACTCTGAGTATATAAACCTAGAGATCTAGAGATTATTGAGCAGCACTGTCACAATGCCACAGATTATTTAATTTATTTATAGCTGCTTAATAGAATTCATGGATGCCCGCTAAACTGTAATTGCACTGACAAATTTACACAGCATTATAGGATTTTACTTTATAGGCATACTGGCTTTGTCAAGTTTACCTCACAGCACTGGGATGTTGTTGTTGCTTTCTGTACTCTCAATACTGGTTCTTCAGTCTTCTACTGCCAACTCTTGCATGACAGTCAGCAAAAAGGACTATTTTTGGCAATTGGTTAATGAATTCTAATATTATTGGAAAACCTAAACCGATGCCAAGTAAACTTAGGCTTTGTAAAACAAAATTGTTTCAGTGGAAAAAAGAGTCTGACCAGAATTTAAAAAGAGACAGTATTTACAACTAAATACTTTTTTTACTTACCAAGTAAAAAACGTTTACAGTTAGTTCATGAGCCACTCTCTAGGACCTAAAATATCCAGAGCTCACAGGAATTATAGCTCTGCAATTATTTTCTATCTCAAGTCAAATACTTAAGAGAAAGGGAAAGATTAGTATTTCAAGATTTTCTATCATGCAGACCAGGTTATCACCTTACTTAGTTACATTTCAAAACAGAGGCGTTTGCTATAAAGATAAAAAGTCTTCCTAGCATGAACTACAGTTTTTGTTTTTAAAGAATTGGCTAAGAACATCCAAGTCAAGAAGAACAAAAAGAAGAAAAATACACTTGTGCATGCAGCTGTGAGGGGGAGACAGATTTAGATACTTAATGGATTAACAGCAAATGATAGAGAGAAACATCACCTCTTGACAGATAAATAAATAGAAAATATCACAATACACTAATATTTGAATCAAAAATATAGTTATCCATGTTTATGATTGTAACTAACTCTACCCTATTAATATCCACTCACCATTACTGGGAATTTTTGGAAATTATTTTAAGATCAGACACTTCAAATATCCACAACTGGTTCAGCACATTCTTGTATTGAAAAACCACAAATACTTTAAGTGTAAAACCAAAGAATGCTAAACAGTACATAACATTAAAGACATTTTAAAAACAGTAAGACAGCAACAAAAAGTCACTTAAGCATCTGTAGAATCCTAACAACTCGAGTGAGACTATAACAAGTTCCAGTATTCTGATGGATGAGGTTGTCTCCTATGTATTCAGTCACAAAAATAAACACCCCAACACCCTTCAATTGATTGAATAAATTAATAGAATTGAAAGATGCAGAATTCCTCCCTCCCATGGCCCTTAATGTGCCTTAATAGAGCCGTAGAGCCTACATAGCTATAGCTATGTAGCCTACATAGCCTATAGCTTGTAGAGCCCTACAGCTGCCTTTACAAAGCTACTATTTTTGCTTGTTTATTGGAATTAAGTTTAATGATGCTACACTTCTGCATCTAATTACATGCCTTAAGACAGCCCATCCACAGTAGGTCTCAGGTTACCATCCCAATCTCACATACTCAGGCACATGGTTAACTTTCCACTGTGAGTTTCAAGTTAAAACACGTACAGCGTTCACTAGAGTAGGTCTAAAAGGACACCCTGTTTCTCTCCCTTAAACAAATGGGGGCTATCTTCCAGTTAAATGACGCATGGATTTTAAGGGTCTTATCTCTCTACACATGTGTTGTATTTTCCAAGCTTTTATTTACGTTCTAGTAATGGTTACTATTTTATTTATCCTATGACATATGCCTCCTCCTCCACAATTTCTTACCATTATTTCTTGCTTACTGTGACAAAACATCTCTATTTCAATTCTCCTAATTGATCTCCTGTTAGTGGCCTATAACTGATCATCACCATTTTTCTGTTTGTATAAAGTCAACAGATAATGGTTGCCTTGCTGTTTCTTTTGGTTAGAATTTTCCTTTCTTTAAGGTCACAGGTATTTTTTGGATAAAAGTTCTTTTAAAAAATTCTAAGTGTTTGCTACTGGCTGCACACCAGTTGTAGGCAGCTTGAGTAGCTTTTCCATTACAATTTATACACCAATTTTTGGCTCTCATTATTAGAATAATCAAGTTAAACTTCTATACCACTATTTTCAGCAGTTAATGACCAAGGTATGTTACTACACATCAAAGTATCTGCACCAGAGACACTACATAAAACAGAAGGCAGATAAATCTATAAGTACGTGTGAACTACTGCTCCTTTTTTTTTAAATATATCAAGCACAACACAAGTTAGCTTATTTGGACAAGAGGTAATGCAAAACTGCATAAATTACAAGTGGAATCAAAAACTACCACAAAAGAAAGACCTTGCTTCAGTTTGTATCTGTTCTATTTACTCTGATGTCAAACAGTGCAACTCTTCTACCTTTAGCTGGCTTTGTGACTCTTTCCAAGAGTCAGTATGAAAGCAAGGCCTACAACTGCACTCAAGAGTGGAAACTAGGGGAGATCCAGCCTGATTCTGAAATAAATGCTTCTTACAGAGTGGAAAAAGGCCTTAGCCATGAATATGAGAAGACCTTATCTGTATGAGCTCTGTCATCTGTCAACATGTATTGCTATTCTTTGCTCTCAAGCACCTAAAGCTGACACTATGTTCAGACAGCCTTCTGTATATTAAAAAATCTTTTAAGCCCATGTTTAGGCACAAGAAGCACCTGTCATTTATTATTTTTTACATGCAGAATTAAAAGTCTCCTTGCCTACTTTCCAAATTACAGACAAATATATAACCTCTCAAACACTGAGCACTTTGTGAGGTTTTATAACCTGAATGCAAATATCCCTCTGAACATACAAGAGAGGCCTCCAATTCCAACTTATTAACCTGAAACCGAGATCCTGAATAATCAGAATCCATGGCTGATCCAAAATTTAAGGGTCAAAGAGTGACATGAGGCAGACTGCACGAAAACTAAAAATCTGTAATAATTGAGAGATTAAGTAATCTATTTATTAAAAACTTGTACGTGTATTATGTACAATTATAGCTGATGACAGCTTTCTCATCTGCTGCCAATTTAATGCTACAGCTGTGCAGCACAGGCCACAGGGGTTCAAAGTGTGCAAAGGCGGCTGCCATTCAAGTGCTGAATAGAGCACGACCGGTGTCGCATCTCTTCCGTTTCCCCGACCTGCAAAACGAACACAACACCAACACTCCGTGAAAAGCATCACGCGAGGAGCAGCGGCGGCTGCGGAACGAGGCGGATGCTCTGCGGTGCCGGGCACAGGCCACGGCCGCACCTGCCCGCGGGCCCGAGCGGGCCGGGGGACAGCCCAGAGCCGGCACCACCGCCGGCCGCTCCCCGGACACCCCCTGCCCGGCCCGGCCCGGCCCAGCCGCTCACCTGCACGCCTGTGTAGTTCTCGAAGAAGAAGAGAACCATGCTCTGGTAGATGGTGTACAGCCGGTCATCCACCTCGCGGTAGAAGCGGGCGGGCAGCACGGCGGAGAGCAGGCGCCAGGCGCCCCAGGCCAGCATGTAGGTGGGCGCCGTGCCCATCATGACGGCGGCGGGCAGCACGTAGCGCATGGAGTAGGTGTGCAGCACCAGCGACAGCAGCATCTTCCCGCTGCCCCCGGCCTCACCGGGACACCCACATGGGCGGCGCGCTCACACACAGCCCCGCAGCCCCGCCGCCTGCATCGCCCGCCGCGCCGGGCACACCCGGGCCGCCAAGCAGCAGCGGCCGGGAGGGACGGGGAGAGAGAGAGCGGCGTGAGAGGCACCGGCTCACGGCTGCCCCAGCGCCGCCGCCGCCACCATCTTGCCCGGCAGAGGCGGAGCCGCGCCGCAGGAAGGCGGCCCCGGCCCGCGGCTCTTCCGGGCGGGCGGGAGGGGCCGCGCTGGCGCCGGGCCGGGCCGGGCCCGTGAGAGGCCCGCGCTGTGGCACCGGTTCTGTCCGCGTCCCCGGCCCTAGCCCGGCCGCATCCCCATCACTCGGCAGCCAGAAGCGGCAGCAGTGGGGACCGGGCTGCTCGGCTCTGTGCAAAACGAGGCACACGCTTTTACAACTGATGATCTTTACTTGTATTAATTACATCCTAGCATAAGTTAGAAGAAAATTAACTCCTTTTCCTTGGCCATCCCCCACCCACTCCCTACCCCCGCACTTTCGGCCTATGAACCCAAAGTGGAGCACTAAAATGCAGCTCTCCCTGTGCCAGCTCCAGGCACGGCGATGCTCGGGGTTTAGGAGGCATTTCACGTGTCTCGCACTAGCCGGCAGCTGCCTGCCTCGCCTCTCGCTTCTCTCACCCTCAGTCTCTGCTCCCCAGTAACCTGTTGGCAGCAGAAGCCAGAGGCACCATCTGCTTTTGAAGAAAATGAAAGAGGTCTTGCAGAAGACAGGCTAATAACCTTCCCAGAAGAAATTGCTTATTGAGCTCTAGGCTGTAGTGAAGTGTTTATTCCTTGTCTTTAAAAAATAAATTATATCTGAAGCTTGTGGAGATCTCACTGTTTTGAAAGGAGTGCGCAATACGTTCTGCTAAGATCTGTTTCCTTTGCCAGGTTTTAACTGGGACAAGCTTTGTCCTTTGCTGTTGACCTGCTAGCTGTTTTTTAGTGTGTGTTGAAAATGGCATCGTTCAGTTCATTAGTCTTAGGCATAAAAAGACATGTCTTTACCAGTTTTAAAATGTTTCATTTTTATTCCTTTGAATGCTTTCCCCCCTGTTACAAGGACTGCCTGTATTTTCTTTGCTGTATTTTGCATTACAAGTTTTCCTTTTTTATTACTGTTTGAGTTTTATTTTTTCCTTCCAGTTTATCCTTTTTTGGCATTCTTAACCTTTTACCATTCCATACCACACACACATGCCCATGTTCACACACTTTGTTTCTGCTTTTCATAACTGGATATTTTCTACAGGTTCTTTTAATGTATTTTTTTCTCTTTGTGAAGAATGTTATCTGACATATAGATACCATTTTAGTTGCATAAAAGGTACGCAGTCCATGTAGTTGGGCTTAGGGCTTAATTTACTAGTGTAATTATATCAGTATGATGTTGTAATATGGGGTTGTAATGTCTGCAACTGAATGAAACTCAAACTTTTCCATTCAAAAACCAAATATACCACAGTGATGAGATCTGGGATGCTGCCACCAACTCTTTACTTTTCTTGACCCATAGATGCATTTTACTGTAGATCCCTCTGAGCTGTGCCACAGGAATTTGAATACTGTCTTTCACATTATAGATGTCAGAGGCAAAATAAGAAGAATGTTTTGATATTCACTACAATTTGTGATTTCTGGTCTTATGAAAACATAGGCACCTCCTTTAATCAAATTTCTCTCTGGGCATTTTACTTTAAGGTGGAAGAAGAAAAACCACCCAATTTAGGGCAATTAGTACTCCAGATATTAAACTTCAAACCTGTTTTTATTTTCTTCTGTATAACAACCTTGACATTTAAAAGAATAAACAATGCCAATGCTTTCCCCCTGAAATTTTGGGTGAAAAGCATTGATGAGTCATCTGTAAGATGCTCAGTCTGTTTGGTGTGAACATAATTATTTGGTATGAACCTGATTGTTCTAGTGTTAAGTTACTCTGCTGGTGCTTGCCACACCTAAAGTGGCCAAGCTCACCAAGCTCTGGGGAAAAAATCAGATGCTAATCTGATAGTGAAAAATACCTGTAATTGCCTCTAAAAGGAACCACAAATTGTGTCACTAAGTGCCAGCTCTGAACGTTGAGGGAATTTCCCATTTTGCTACTCACGAAACCATGTTTCACAATTCCATCACCTACTCACTGCAATTGTCAATAGACTAAGCAAAGCCAGATAACATCAGATACAAATCAGTCTCCCTTGAGCTTTAAAATTTAAACCTTTACAGATGGCCTTATCTTCAATAATATCCTGAAAGATGATGTATTGGTATCAGTTCTGTCGTTAACGTTGAGAAATGAGGCACAGATATTAAGGCCAAAGATCTAGATCCAAATAATTCCTGAATTCCTAGAGTAAAGGACTTAGATTGGGAGCTTGGGCTTGCCATGAAGTGCATGTCATGTGGGGAGCTAAGCAGTGCATAATGGGATCCATGGCCATCATCAGTCTGTGCAGAAAGTTGATTGCAGTTAGCAGCTCAATAAGTATTGGTGTAGGGCCAGGTAAACCAAAACACTTAGGACAGTGGCCTAGGTAAGGTCTTACAAGTTCTCATTCTGTATTTCAGAAGCACATGTGTCCACTTGAGACCCACAATGTGTTACAAAGTTTGGTACGACACTTTTAAAAATGTGGCTAGAGAAGATACCCAACAGACTTCAAGGGACTGGATTAGACATGGATTCAGTTTGTTGAGGCTATCAAACTCATACCTCCCATCACTGAAGGGTAAGAGTAATGAACATCTCTCATATTAAAGGTGCATTTTTGTAGGAATTATTTAATGTGACATGAAAAATAATTAGCCTAGATTACACTTAGACTAGTTTAGACAAGTAGATTTATTTAGATTACAGGTCCTCTAGAGGTGTGCCTTTTTTCCAACAATTGTCATGACCTGCATCTGTCTGCATGTATTCAAGGAAATGAAGGCTTCCTTGAATCCTGCAATCCTCTCCAGCCTCAGGTGTGAAATGTAGTAGTTCCTCTCCATTCCTGACTCTGTCCTGGCAGGGCTCCTTCTTGTTCCTCTGTCCCATTGGACTCCCTGGCTCCCCTCATACAGAATATAAGGCTGCACAACATTTGACTGGTCCACCTCAACGTGTCTGCATGTCTGTGCTCCACTCATTCCATTCCTTACCTTCATGGTTGTGTTTATGGTGGGATTTACAGAGTCTTCTGCATCATACCCTTGCATTGATAAGGAAACAAGTTCAGCTGTACACTAATTGAGGCAGGTTTCAGTTCTTCTCTGTCCCCCAGGAGATTCCTTGTTATGGATTTGGTTATACTTTTTGCCTCTACAAATCAGTAAGAAAGGCAGATACAGATGAAGTAAGGATGTGGCAAAATTCTTCCAAGCTCTCACAGCCTTCTCGAACCCCTCTTTGTGGTTCAGGGTCTGGAGCCAGGTCCAATTCACCAACAGATTTATTCTACATATGTCTACCCATTTTTCCTTTTACCTGTATTGGTTTTTAGCTGCACTGCAGTCTATGTGACAAGCAGTAGAATCTCCTTTTGTTTTGAACCTGCTTCATTGTAATTTCATTTTATGTACCTTAAATCTTGTATTGAAAGACATTTTCCACTCTCTTTTTAAAGAGATTATTCCACTCATGATTTTGAAAGATCTCCATAAGATCCCCTTTAGGTATTCTGTTTTCTTCATGAGAGATATTATGTTCACTCATAAGATTTATCCATAAAATATTTTGCAGAATCTGTGATACATGTCTAGTATAATATGTCATCATTTGATAAACCAAACTAGTAAATGAGTAGAAGCACGTTTTCCCTAATGGTTCTAAACCACATCTGCTGACACCAGAGATATGGTGATTTTCAAGACTCTGCAGACTGTGGAGAAAGCAGAGTTTTAAGGAGCACACACTCTTTTGCATCAAGCTGAATCACTATAATCTTTCATCTGCCTCCAAGTTTTCTCTTTCCTCTGTTTCCAATCTTCACCCATCAAACTCTCAGTCTCCCGTCCAAAATACATCTTTGGTTCTCAGCTCTGTCTCTACATATTTTTTCCAATCTCCTTCCCAGACAAGCCTAGCTAATTCTACTCCCATGACTCTGTGCATCCCATTCACATTTCTCAAACAATGTCCATCTCTTTTTTTTTTTTTTTTATAGTGAATCCTTGTTTGCTCTTAATTTCCCTTGAGAGCTCCTAATCCTGCTACCCACTCTTCTTTAGTCAAATTCTCTTTGCCAGAGCACTTCTAATCTTTATTTCCTGCCTGATTGGTCACAGTCCAGTCTTTCCTCAACAATTCTCAGCCACAGCTTCACTCTAGACCAGCAGTTTTGGCTTGGCCTTTCCCCCCTCATTTGGTCAAGCTTTCAGTCCCTTTGTATGTAACCTGGGTGGCCTCTGCCTCTGTGACACTTTGGTGCAGGCAAGGACAGCACTGAGAGAATGGCAAAATAAGGTATTGTGGCCCCCTCATCTGGTCCCTGGATGGCTTGAAGGGGTCAAAGCCTGCTGTCTCTCAGGAAGGACAGCATCTGGCTTTGCCATTTGGCTTTGCCAAATTTGAGCCAATTTTCACAGTAGGAGGACAGAACTTTCATAGCTCAAATGCTACTCATGACCTTATCAAACAAATCTACGCTCTAAGGCCAAAAGTAGTAAAAATTAAAAGGATTATGAGTGGCATAGCAGAGTAGCAGATTTTCTATAGCTATATTCCCTAAAATAATGCAGTCTAGAAAATTTCAACCCTCAATTTTAAAATAAACAGGGACAAGACAACAAGACAAGCTCTTTGAAATTTGAAATGAAAATCTATTAATAAAACCAGACTTTGATACCAGGTGATGCTACAGCTCTTCCCTGCAATTAAGGCTGTGTTTATAGTGTAAACCCACCTGAAGGATGAGTTAATATTTATACAGAGAAGCCTGAGAAACATGAGATCATGAAAGACCTGAGAAGAGAATTAATGTGGTGTGCCTAGACACAGATATAGCTGCTTGTGTTTAGCAGAACTAGGAATACCAGTTGAACTGTATTTATGAGTGTTTAGGGAAGAATTAGTTACCTCCTTCTATGTAAAGTTTTAGTTCTATACTACCCACAACCACCTACAAGGGTTTTAGTCATAGTAAACCAACATTTTTACATTAACAGTATGGTTTCAGTATAAG